CAGTTAGAAACGGATGTACTATGATAAAATGCTTGTTTGAAGCGGTATTTTCAATTGTACAAAGATATTTTGTTGCATTTGTGTTAGAATGTTGCTTTGTCAGGCTTTTTTATAGAAAATATATGGGAAATAAGCAAATGAAGGCCCAAACCTCATTTTCGATTCAAATTTTTGCTTTGACTGTCATCGCTTTCATCGATCATCTCCACTTCCAAACAAGTTAAACTTTCTGAATAACGAGATTTTAGCCTTGTACAACAGCCTTTCTTCAAGAAAACAGTTTTTGGCGCTCACTGCTTGAATACAAAAAGAATTCTATCTTAATGTAACGTAAGCTTCGGCTGATGTAAACATTCTTCCTGCACTCAGCACAGTGCACTTACATTATTACATTGTGGCTTATATCAAACCACGAAACGAAACGACACAATAAAATGTGAAACGAGGATTTCGCGTTTTACAGATATTTAAAATGCGAAACCGTCATTTCGCATTTTACAGATGTGTAAAATGCGAAATGACAGACTGTAACCTGAGGCTTTGCGATCCCATGTTTAACTGTAAGCTTACTCACGAAATTGGATGAAAACTGTGTAGCTCCATGTCTTAGAAAATWAGAGATTACTTTGAATCTCAGTGGGAAGAACAGTGTAAACTTTCCATGTACCAAAAGCCACAAATTTATAAATTATATTCAAATAATTCAACTCCTGTTGTTGTGGCGCCATTTTGAAATTTTTGAAATCGAAATTTAGAAATAAAATTTAGAAACAATTTAGAAATAGCGCCAAAGAGTACCCCTTTCAGTTTTTAAGATGTTGTGATAATAATAGTAATAATAATACAGCTTCTCATTAATCCCATATAGGTACCTAACTGTCCAATCATTTTCTTAGGGACAGGTCTTGTTGATATGGGATTAATTAGGCAGCTATATAATTAATAGGTAATGGGATTTCATGCTCCCCAATCAAGAAATAATTAGACTCGAAAAATTCCTCTGACTGCCAAATCTGACTCAGCCCAAGGCCTCATCCAATTTTGTCAGTCCTCAGAATTTTCCTCGTCCAAATATTTCTTAATTGGACAGCATGGAGTCCTACAGTTACCCTGGGTGCCAGAGGCCGTGTGGGGCTCCCAGGGTATCCTACAGTACATATACTAATATGATTATAAAGAAAAAGCTAACTTAAATAAATGAGTCTTGAGTTTAGATTTAAATAAAGATAAACTGGAAATATCTCTAATTGAAGAAGGTAGAAAGTTCCAGAGGAGCGGAGCAGCAACTGAGAAGTGAATAAAGAAAAAATACAGATGCAGATAAAACTTGTTGTTTTTACGAACGAGAGATCCTTGAAACTTCTAAATTACTAGTAACAAGCCTATATCGCTTCGAAAGCGATGATGTTTCGGCCCGTTATCTATTTATTGTGTGGCATTGCTGAATAAAGAATTTTGGTCTTGCTGTGGTAATGATTGGGTCTCCTGTATTTTGGAAATGGCAGACAAGAACGATCTCGCGGTACGCTTTCACGTTGCAAAGTCTTACGCAAATTTCGATGGAAACATTTGTTATAAAATTCTCTTGGACGAAATACATCGTAATTAAGTTTTTTGGAGATTTTAGTGGTTCTTGCTTTGAAACATCGTAGTGTTTTGGGGGAAAACATTGCAACGTACGTACATATAACGTCTCGCCGAACGAATGAGAGATCCGACAATAGATATGAACAATGATTGAGTATATCGCAGAGAGCAGAGTACTTGGTGCAAAATATTTTGGCACATGAGCATTACTGTACGCGCTATGTTGAATGTAGGATACTTTTTAAACCTTCATTCTGCTCGTTGACATTTATGGTAAATGTATTTAGCTCTTATATCGTAGCTTGAAGAAAATGCGAAAGTCTCAATTCGAACGAATAGATACAAGGCTTGTCTTTGACCAGTGCGCCGTCACCAATC